CTTCTAATAATTGTGTTTTAACTTGATCAAATGATTCACTACATAAACGTACCTTCTCATAAAAATAATCAACAGTAGGTTCGCCTTTTAATTGAACTATAGAGACTAAATTTTGCCACAATTCAGTAGTATTTTGATCACCAATAAATGACCTTGTAAATTGTTTTTCAAATATTTTCCATGAAGAAAAACTACGACTCTTAAACCACTGTTGAGCTGGTCCATTCAAATTTGCTCGAACAGACTCAATCTTTAAAGCATCAGATCACTTGTTAATATCAGATATGCCATTAAATGTATTTAGCCAATCTTTGGCTTCTGATCTAGACTCGTGGCCTGTAAGTGGTTTTATACTTTTGTTAAGATCTGGCATAACATACAATTGATTACCTTGGTTACTCGTAGTATTAAAAACAGTGAGTTGTTACATTAATAAACGATTTTGTTTCATCAATAATTGAAACATGGTGTTCATATTAGATGTAGAGGGCTCTTCGAAAGTATCACTGGTAATGACTTGTTGATCATCCTGAACCGTGTCGCCATGCTCTCGATTTTTATCCAAATCCATCATGGAAACGGATTTTCGAAAACCACTTCTGAGATTGTAGGAGGCCATATAATATGGTATAATAAAAGGGACCGATAACGGTGAAAGGAGAACATATAAAACAAAACCAGTTGGTTCTTTAAACTTTTAAAAACATAATTGTATTTTCATAAAGCACATAAAAAAATTAACATCATCGCCATAATAATAACTTCGTAATGTAACATTGCATAATATGTATAACATAACATAATAAAGATAATGGTTGTGGCCAGTGCCATCAACCAATGCCTACAGTATTATATTTAAAATTTTCATCAGCAGACTCCGTAACATTTTCCAAATTACTTTCACCGTGCATTTTCTTCTTTGTTCTTTTACGTTCTTGCTCAAAGTCATTTTTGACTCCAAACTGTTCACACAATTCAATTGTATTACATCTTATTTTTAAAAAATGTTCCTCATTTCTTAAAAATGAAATATCTAAAAAACATGTTGAAACCATATTACGTGCAGTTATTGAATCAATTTTAGAACTTTGTAAATAATTTGATAAAATATTAGCTTTTCCAAGTATATTCTTCCATAAAACTAATAAAAAACTGAATTTAAAATTCATCATTTGAAAAAGTAATCCTTGTGCTTCTGAAATAGTTTTTAATTTTGTATTGAAAAGTTTTTCATCGGCATTTCGCTGTAATGAATTAACAATTGCTGGTAAGTTTATGTACACCGAGTCTACTGCACGTTTATGATTTGCCCATCTTGTCTCTGAAAGTTGCTTTAGTGTTAATAATAGGCCATCAATTTTTTTTTGTTCTTCTTCAAATATTTTTAGTCGTGGTAAACTATTTGTTATAAATGTATATAATGCCTCAAGAGAACCTGCATTAATAGATGATCTAATAGAATCTATAAGTACCAAATTTAAATTATGAGCGCAACAATGAATGTATAGTGCAATGGTGATAAATCTTTAATTTTTGATTGCAAGCCAGAAAATCGCCCAGACATGGATTAGCACCATCATAAGCTTGACCACGACATAAAGAAATATCTAATTTATATTCTTCTATCAACTTTTTTATGATGACAAAATAATCATTTGCAGTTGCATTAGGTAGTTCTTTAAAACACAGAAAATTTTCTTTGATGTCTCCTTGTTGATCTACAAATATCAAGCTAAAAGAAAATTGATCAATTCTTCCAATATCTATTGTCGAATCTACAATAATCGTAAAATACTTTGCTTGTTTTACTTCATTTAATATTGTGTGCAATATTTCATCTGCCATACATTTAAGTATATCATTTTGAATTTTAGGACTCAAGTATGTTTCATTTTGGTTTGATTCAGCCAAGTGTTTAGCTAGAACAGCATCATATTTTGACACAAGCTTCACTATTTCAATCAAAAGTGTTTCCTGATTAATATCGAAAAGGAAGTGTATTTGTTGATAGAAATTAAGATAAGTCGATTAACCGTTTCAACACACTTCGATTAAATTCTGTTTGACATCTTTCAATTTTAATTAAATTTTGTTGAATAGTTAAATCTTTTAAGACTCTACTTTCTAAAATTAAATATTCATTTTCTGCTACTATGTGATCTTTGGATTTTTCATGTTTAATAATTTTTTCATATCCTTTAAGAAAATTAGAAACGTGTCTTGATTAGGATTAAACCATTGATAACTATGCTGAGATACAGATCGGGACAAAAAACAAGGGAAACAAAACATTTTGTTAGCTTTAGGGGAATATACTAACCAATTTCTTTTACACATTATTCCTGATTTAACTTCTTTACGTATAGTTAGGCGAAAATTTTTTGCCGAACTCATTTTCGAGAAAAACATAATCGTTAACATTATCATCTATATCGAACATATCCTATGATATTTATTACATAAATTGAAAAGTTATTTTAGTATTGCACTAATAATGCGAAAAGAAATTTTATTAATATATTATTTCAATGAATTTGCGCCGGCCTTACGATTTCTTATACGTTTTTATACTTCAATACTCAGTCTTAACGTATTATTTATATACATATATAAGTACATCATAATATAGTTAGAAATTTAAAATTATGTTTTTATAGAAACATTTTTAAGCCTGAGAATAGTTTATAAATTATTATTATTTTTTTTTTATTATTGTGGTATTATATACAGTAGAACTCCAATTATCCGAACTCCGACCATCCGAATCGCCGATTATCCGAATCACTTTCAGAAAAAATCAGAAAAAAATTTGTCCAAAGTCCGCGGCGTCAGTGTAGGCACAACACGTGGTAAGAGTTCCCACTCCAGTTCCGGCGCATTGCAGTCACCTGTCATTGTTTGTTTTGATTAGTCAGTGAATGGGTCCCGGTCCCCATTAATTCGGATAATTGGAGTTCTACTGTACAAAATTAAAAATTATAAAAGTATATAGTTTGTGATTTTAAGGGGCCACATTTAATTGAAAAAAAAACGGTGGGTCAGCTCACCCCCTAAACCCTCCCTAGGTCCGCCCCTGCGCTTGGCCAATATACCGAAATCAACAATCACTCCGTGGAGATGGCCTCAAAGACCACAGAGAAGGGTACATTGTGATTATTTTGGGACGCACAAAAATAAAATTTTTTTGATATTCGAAGACACAACTTCAAAATGGTTAGAGGTATTTCCTTTATCAATGACTGTTCAAACTTTTATTACTAAATTTTCTAAGTTTATCGCACTTTTTGGAATTCTGCGTACAGTTGCAACTGACAGGGCGAAATGTTTTGGCGGCATTGAATTCGAAATTTACTGCAAAAAATTATATATTAGACATTTAACAGGAGCATCATTTCATCCTTTGTCAAACTTAAAAAAAAACAAATATTCCTTGTATGTAAACTATAATTATAATCAAAATAGGATAAAAATAAAATTTAAATCTACTAAATAAAAATTCATAAAATATTTTAAACAGATAAAAAAAATTTTAATATTTGGTTTTTATCATTTGATAAATAAAATAGATTTGATCAATAAAGTAGATTTTTAAACAACTAAATAATTCTGAACAATTTATATTTACATTTGTTTTTGTCACCAAAATAGCTTTTGGAGTTTCTATCTTCTCCTTAATTTTTTTTTGTCCATATTTTATTCATTTGGTTAAATACTCTCACAGTTGATGCATTTGACTCAGGTAAGTATAAAATGTACTGTATTAAATTTGACATTAAATCTTGAGGAATTCAATGTTCTTTAAAATGTGAAAATACTTTTTGACCCATCTATTTGAAGTATTAATTTATTCATTATTCCGCTTAAATATTGTATCAACTGTTATAAAATTTAAATTACAAGTGAATTCATCAAACAGCTTGGAATTTTGAAGATAAGAACAAAGCTTTTTTTAATTACAAATTCTAATTACTAGATACCTAGTCAGAAAATATATAAAGTTCTTCTTGACAGTCCAAAAAGTCTATAGGAATCTTAATATTGAAAAATATTTTAATGTTACTTGCTTAACGATATACTTGAGATTAATGGAAGTGGTAAGTAATAGAGTTAATAAAAAGAGAAATCAATAGAGAAAATAAGTGATCAACTTGTGAAATACCAGTAGTGAACCAAATAAGTAGGAAAGGTACTGTCTTTCCATACGGATGGACCTGAACCACTATAAAGACTAGTTAAGACTATGTCAGTAATTTAGTCGAGTGGTAAGTGATTTACTAATTACTAAACGGTTTAGTAACTAAAATGTGTTCAAACAAAACTAGGGTTTAAAACTGTTTTAGTACATTAGTAGTCGTTTATTTAGTAATCAGCCGGGAAAGAGGGGGTGGCTACTCGACCAAAAAAATAGAACAGAATGGATTTACTAAACTACTCGACTAAATCGATCTGTTTATACATGATTAGTTACTAAAATACTCGCTACTTGACTAAATTACTGGCATAGTCTGAACTAGTCTTAAGAGAGAATCCCCAGCACCTAAATTATCTTGAGTGTTAGTAAGTAGGCCTTGGTTTACTATACTAAAGGCTTTTTAGAAATTAGAAGGTAAAAATAACGTCCACTTGGGAGTTATTATCAATACAGCTAGAAATAAAAGTAGCAAAAGAAAGACTGCAAGTAGTTATAATCTATTATGTGCTGCATTCACATTAAAGCGTATTATTATATGACAATCATTTTAATCACTACCATAATATATATCTGACTGTCAGATAGCAATCTACACAGGTACTAACTTTGTTTCATTCCGTTTATTTTCTTTAGATGACTATTGAAATTTGTTCACATTATGTTAAAGAATTAATTTCTGAAATTTCAGATCGCCCCACTAAGTTAAGCTTGTTTTGTTGTCCATTGTTTTTTCTGTTATCTAATTTGTATTACTTAATTTAATATTATAAAAATATTTACTCATAAATTAGTATTTATTTTGTTTTAGTTATACGACTTATTTGCAAACCTGCAGAGCATTATATCCAGAAGAACAGCTAGAAATTTTAAAAGAAGAATGGAACAAAGAAAACAAAAATTTAACTTTAATCGATAAAGATAAAATAACCATCGATTATTATTTGAATGAAGTAAGTGAAGTTTAAATTTAATAATAGTAAAACTAACTTAATACTAACATGGCCGCGAGTACCGTAATACACGGAATCCTTTTCACTCCATCACCAATGGTTCTTTTCGCTGTTGTTTGTGTAATTCGACAAACAAGAACAATATTGCAATACCATTTCTCATAATTGCATAATATTCAGAGTCTTTCTTCATTTCTCGACAGATAGTACGTAGAATTAAGTCTCTTCTTTTTTAGTTGCTGGAGTTATAGGTTTAATTTATACTAAATAAATAATAACACGGCGAATAATACTAAATATTAGTGACAATATATTTTTATTATTAAAATATAAACAAAAACCGTAAAAATACCAATATGTATTCTGTACGAGCGCTGAAAGATTATTCAATTATATATGGTGCATCACCGGACCGGTTCGTGTCACCCGCGGTCACCGGCGTCACGCGACCCGTCGGACGAGGAAAGGTATCTGTGTCATTTATCATTATTGTTTTGTTGAATGTTTTAGAGTTTAAATTTATAAATCACAGCCATCTAGGTGAGGTGTCCCACCTATCAGATATGATTACCAGACCATAGGTAGAATTTAATTTTAAGTTAATAATAGTATAATTTAAGTTGTACCGTTATAAAAATGAATGTTGAAGAAGAGGTAGAGAAAGACCAAAAAAGAGATGGAAGGATGCTATTGAATGCATGCAATATGAAGACAGCTGATGTGAGCGTAGATGATATAGGAGATCGTGTCAAGTGGAAGTTTAGGATAAGGGTGGCCGACCCCAAATAGTTGGAATTAAGGCGAGAAAGAAGAAGAATAGTTTAATTTAAGTTAATATGTCGTTTTATATATAAATGATTACAATACCTTGTGGTTTATTAATTACAACTATGATAATTGAAGTTATCAGTGGTTGATATGTAAAACATCGTAGCCCGTGGAAAAGGGCAAAAATTACGCGAGTACTTCAGTTACTCGGTCAATAAAAAATCCCGACACAGTGGGGATGTGGGATAATTGGGTAGTCCAGTATAGATGTTATCTGACAGTGATTAAAATGACTATCATAATAAACGCTTCGATGCAAATCTGTAGATAATGTTTAATTTAAAAAAAATTAATTAATTGCATTATTCCAAAAGATACATGATCTCCTATTTCCTTATTTGTATTCTTATTACAAGTTTTATGATTTATAAGTGTAATATATGAATATATATATATATATATTAGGGTGTCCCGTATTTTTAAAATGTTGATAAGTCCTAACTCTTACCCCCCAAATTTTTGTGTATAAATGTAAAAAGTACCCTTAAAAAATTTCAGGAGGTCGATCAGACAACTTTTACTCGTGCCGACTTGGGGTTGAAAATCGACCGAAAGAGGTAGTTTTTTAGTCTTTTACAATTAATTTGCGAATTTGTGCTCCCACAAAAAAAAATTATTGAAACTAAATTGTAGATCTAATTGTTTAGCATAATTTATATTCTTACAATTTTTCTTCTAAATCCATTATTTTTCTATAAAAATTATAAAAAATGTATTATTTGTTGATATTACCGAAAATGGGATATTTACAAATATTTTGTCTTATCTGGCGAGCATTTTATGATAAAGCTTAATGTTTCATACAAAAATTGTTTAAAATGAAGTTTTCTATACAAATGGTTATTAACTTAATTTTTATTTGACAGTTCGTTTCATTGTTACAGATAAAATAATTCTAAGTATAATTTTATTTCAAAATATGTTGAGTAATATAGTAATTATCCTAAATATCATGATTCAAAATCGTTTTTTTAATGTCTCTTTGTTACAATTAGGGTATAGTCGTCTATGTTCTTGGACACAACGCAATAGTAATTGAGCCTTTACATCGTTAGCAGTTAAAGTGCCATGATATTCTTCCATGAGCTGTACTTGAATTGTTAGTTAGCGTGATTTTAATTTCTTAAAAAATATAATAATGTCCAAAACATAACGAAGTGATGATAAAATATTTTTAATAGGATCTATTTCTTCTCAAATTTTGGGATCAAAGCTCCATATCCATTAAAAATTACCTTGTTGTATTGCACATGCAGTTTTGTGTTTATCTTGAATTTTTAAAGGAATTGACCAAAATGCTGAATTTATGTGTTTAGAGTAGAATAATATTTACAGTTAACAATTTTATCCAATAAATCTTCAATCAACGGGAATGGTTATGATAGAGGGATTACAATTTTGTTTAATTCTCTGAAATCTATACATAACCTTGTTTTTTCTCCCTCTTCGTTTTTATATGCCAAAGTTACCGGAACAACGAAAGGACTATAAGATTCTTTAATCAAATTTTTCTCTAATAATTTTAATATTTGGTTTTCTATTTGTCTTCTATCCTCTTCTGTGCATCTGTATGGACGTTTATATCAATATTTATCTACTATCAAGTTAATATGAGCTTCATAATGTCATAAAAATACATGAATTTAAACATGAACAAAAATACGAGTATATCAATAACCATGTTTACAAAGAAAGGCAACAAAAATAAAATAACATAAAATATTTAAACAAAAACAAATAATATAACAAACATCACGGACGGTATTGGAACACATTCGTTAATGTTAATGGGAAATGAATGAAAAACACCAAGAGCGGTGTGGACACTTGCTTTTTAGCGTTGGCTAGGAAAAAAAGTAAACACGTACTCTCCACACATAAATAAAATTTAGTAAATGAAGTAAAATAATTAATATAGCATAGCTCATTACATATATATATAACTTTGTTGAAAGTACAACAAAAAAAGTTGGTTTGATTTCAAATTAAAAATTAATTCGTTTACTTTATTGTGATTTTTCTTAATAAGTTTAAAATTATACACTATCAAATAACATTCAAACATTGCAGGGTATTGCGACTGATGCATATGAACCATTTTCAGAAAAGGTATTAGAAACAATCAAACAGAAATATATTCAGCCATACTTCATAAAAGCGTAACTATATTGAATATTTATTTAAATCTGTGATTCTATGAATTAATTTTTTTACTTATTACCTCCAAAAGAATATAACTTTGTTATAAGTATTGAAAGATTTTAATTGACAATTATCAAATAAGTTCTAATTATATTCACGTAGATTCAATAGATAAGTTCAGTATCGCTTATCTTGGAGCAACCCGAGAAGATGAAACAGTATAGTACATCGGGCATTGCTACATTACTGACTTAGTTACACCATCTCTACTTAAGATCAGTACTGTAGAATAATATAACATTTGTTATTTATTAACTATAATTTTATTATAAATTTCAGGACATTTTGAAAATATTCCAAACGGTTTGTTAAAAATTTTAGACTTTAAATATCAAAACTTGAGCGTTACTGAGCGTTTTTCTTGATAAAAATGTCAAATAGCTTTTGGGAACAAGGGAAAAGCTTTTTGTCATTAATAATTTTTGTGTGGTTATGCATTAAATTTATATATTTGACCCAGTACTCAAAGTTAAAAGAAGTGAAATCTTAGATTCACTTAGTGATTTTTATCAAATCGATAATGTTATTTTATATAATTAAATAATCAGCTCAAGTAAACTTCTTTTTGCAAATTATAGTTTGTGTCTGGTAAAATAGTCTTAAACTAAAATGAGTAATGTTCGTTAATTATAGCATTAAATTTGAATACTATGAATTATTTAAAAAATACTTGAATACATTTGAATACTATGTTGAATTTATTTAAAATATTTAATTAAAAAAATCACTCTGCTCAAATGTTGGACGAATTTTATTCTCGTATTTCATTTATCATTTAACTTACAATTGATCAAATTAATATTTATGAAATTAAGCCTATAGTATTCATATTATTTATAATTGAATTGTTATTTTGTAGGCATAATTTTATTGTGTCCAATTTGGATTCTGAAATCATACTTTATTATAATAAGGTTTGCCGAAAAATAATTTTGGATTACATATTGATGGATCCTAACGAGCTGAAAAGATTAAATATACAAAATTATTATCTACCGGAATATCCAACAATGCTTATTAGAGGTCCAGTACCGTGGCACCACATGATTTATATTCGAAAAGAACAGCTGAGACATAATTTATATATTTTTAAAAATCCTATACTTCTACTAGATAAAGTATGGGAAAAGTAAGCTACATAATAAAAAATTCTTATAAGTTAGGAATGAAATTTTTTTATTTTTTTAAGAGCTTATAATTTATTATTTTGTTCAGTTAATCATCTATAAATTATATTTTTAATAACTGTGAATAACATGATACATTAAATAAATATGTATATAAATTTATAAATTAGTCATTTCTCTTACCTAAGTATAAATTTATTAATAACTTATTTAATAAATTACAATAGTAATAACCTGTCTCTCACCAACATAGTAATTAAAATAATTAAAAATAATAAAAAATATGGCAATTAAAAATAAAATCATAACTAATTTTGAGATACTGGTTCAAAAGAAATAAAAAATGTATTTTCTTTGATAATTTTATATTTTATAAGCTAGTTAATTATATATACTGATATTAAAAAATTACGTTGACATCCTTATAAGATATAAGAAATGAACCAAAAAATATAAGACACTAAACCCCAATAAAAAATTTCGTAAGCAATTTGGTGGGTTAATAACATATATTTCAAGAATTTTTTATTCTCAAATGCATATAATTTAGAACTCTAATTTTGCACATAAATCCGACTCTGATTATGACTGATAAATATTATAATCAGTAATCTTTTTTCAAATTATTTATCATAAAAATAATTTAATTAAATTTTCATTTTAAAAATGTTGAATATTTGATAATACTTTAAGTTAGTAAAAAAAAAAGCAATTTTTATTCTATGTTATTTTAAAATTTTTGTCGATACATTATTTTTTCTTAAAAATATCTTTTTGTACCTAGAGAGGCACAAAATTACATTGCGATTAAAATCCCACATCTATTTCGCTACCAGAAATCACCTAAATTTTATTAATATATTTATAATAATTTTAAATATCAACTAAGTATTGAGACAACACTAAAAATACACTAATAAAAGACTTTTTATGCTCATCACTTTAAAAAATTTAAAAATGATGATGTTTTTATCGTTGGAAAAAAATAATTTTGTACTTATGTAGGGATAATACATCCTCCAAAATTCCATAGTTCCTGCCTTTAATGATATGCATCGTAAATATATTTAAAAAAATATGTATAACACTTATATAACTCATTAAATTATAATCTTTTTTTTGGAGGGGGTTAATAAAACTTGTTCTTCGTCATTAAAACGGAGAATTGAACTAGTTCCTTTTATATAAAAGGAACATATAATCGAATGAATTACTTTATAAAATGAATTTAACAAAACTACCCAATGGTACTAAATATATTTTATTCGAGTAGTGTTTTATATATTTAGTGGCGTTTAAAAAAATTTAGTGACATTAAAAAAATACTAGCACATATTTTTCATAATCTTGTAAAAATGATGAAATTTGGTTTAAATATATAATTTTTCCAAACTTAATGTAAAGTTAATAACACACATTTAGAAAACTCTGGGGCTGTGCCGCTCTATCCAACAAATCCAATCCTTTCAATCCATTTGCCTACGAACACTCACCAATTTCCCTTGGTACGTCCCTAATAAAACTCTCCATTCAGATCTTCAAATTAGTTATGTTAACAATATCGCCAAAACTGCTTACCTAAAACTTCATAACAAATTTAACTTTCACCCAATTCCTAATATTCAATACCTCTATTCATAGCACATCCCCGACAATCCGCCTAAAGATTAAAAAGAAAATGGTGTAGAGACCTCCTATAGAAAAAAAAAAACAAAATTCAAAGTAGGTAGCTCCATTGGGTGCCCCCTATTGCATGCTATTGAAGTCATATTGTAATTTTTTCACTACTGTTAACCCATTTACGGTTGTACATATATTTTGTATAGGTGTAAATTTTATAAAGTTATTTAAATAAAAAAAAATATATATATATATATAATTATATAGTTGTCAAACAATTAAAATAAAATAAAATAATTAATCTATATTTTAATCAGTTTTTATATAAATCAACAGGTACTCAAATAAATATATTTTTCCCATTAATGACTTTAAAAAAATCGGCTTGCCTATCAATCCAGAAAAATTACAACAATATTTAATTGAATCATGTGAACAATTTAGAGTTACACTTATTAATGAGTATATAACACAAATTATACGAATTTATAATGAATTTAATTATGAGTACTTTTTATAGATGGTTAGTAGAATGCGCCGACATTTTTGTATTAACTAGAGATAGTTATCTAAGCGCGTTACCTACAAGTGGTATAGAAACCTCAAAATATCAAATAGTCAAATTTTTTAATTGTGTGGCAGCATCTATGTCGAGAAAACTAAGACGAATAGTTTTTAAATCATTAAGACATTTTATGAACTATTTACTTAGTTATAAAGTAAGAAATGGGTATACATTTGTATAAATATCATCATGTTTCACAAATTAGTAGAAAGTTTATTAATTAAAGATCTTAGGGAACAACGAAATATGATCAACTTTTTTTGAATAAATATGATTGTTTTACGTCAATTTATACAAACATTTGTTTTACACTCTTATACATCGTGGGGGTATTTTATCTAGAAAAAACATTCCACTCCTACATTTAATGACATTTTTTTTATAAAATTGCTTTTTCTTAAAATCAAAAAAAAATTGACATGTCTTATTGTTGCCCAAAGGCCTTTAATTATTTATTTGCAAAATACTTTAGAACGTTTTTAATTTATTTATAACCTTAGGGTTTGTGATTATGACAAAGAAAAAAATACGTTTTGAATTTATTTTTAAATTTAATATTATATAATAAAATAAAAAATGCTTAAGACTACTATAATAGTTTTTATTATTAACGTAATAATTATTTTTCTCTTACGACGCTATAACATTAATTTAATTTTTATTTATTCAATATATCAAAAAAAATCTCATGAAATTTCTTTAAAACTTTTTATTATTTTTTTCAATTTTTAAATGTTAAATATTCATTTTTTTGAATATTTGTATTATAAATTGTTTATTTATAGGAGGGTAATTTTTTTGATACTGAATACAAGGATGAAATGTTCATTAATTGGCCTTTTTTTATTGTAAAAGCAGTGCCTATTTTTAGTTCAACAAAAATAACATATTCACCAAATTTTGAAAAATGCTTAGATATAATTCTATCAATTCCACGTCAAATAATTAAAACTACAGAAGACATTCCAAGAATTGAGCAGTTACTAATGAAAGGTAGTCATAAAATAATTTTAGCTTCGATATGTAGCTGAGAAGGTATTACTTTTATAATGTGTTTTGTTTTTTTTATATATATTTTTTTTTTATATCTGTTACCACTTTTTCTCAGCTTTCACCGAATCGATTTCTTTCAAAGATACGTCAAAAGATCACAAATCGTATCTAGTCAAAGACATTACCCTTAAAAACTGAAAAAATTTCTTTTGTTCCCCGTAAATGTGGGAAATATCCAAAAAATAACAAATTTAAAAATTGTTAATTTTCGCACATTTTTTCAATTATTTTTACATAAAACTAATATTTTAACTAACATTATTTAAATCTATGCTGGGCCCAACTATGCCACGACCCCACTGTACCGCCACCCACTGTGCTGGGTTTTTTTTTAGTTAAAGTAAATCATTAAAATTAATTAAGTTCTAAATAATTCAATTGTAGAATCTTTTTAAACACAAATAATATTATTTCTATTTCAGTTATCTAGTACGATAAAAATGCAAAAAAATATTGAGCTTTTTTGATAAATTTACTATAAATAATAATTATAAAACTTCCTGACTGCATATTAATTTTAACGATAAAATTTTTTTAATTCTCATAAAATTTTCTATTTAATGATGTCAATTTCAAACTTGCAAATTAAGCTAAATGTTATGGAAATGATTAATTTTTTTTTATTATAAACTTTCACAAAAATCAACTTTAAATAACCAAAAAAAAAGGTTAAAAATGATATTTTGCACTGAATATTTTTACACATTTACCCTGTTGGTCGGGGTTAGAATACACCATCGGTTGTTCCTGCCTGTCGTAAAAGGTGATTAAAAGGGACTTGTAGTAGGGTAGCAGCTACTACAATATTGGGTGTAGGTTCATCAGTTATACGCCAGGCACCAGCCAACAGATACGGGAAACAGTATAACTGATGGCTGCACTGCGATACGGAAGGCAACGGGAAACCACCGTATTAATATCACAAGTAACAGCAATCAACATGTCTTCTTCTCAAGTAAAAAATTCCGGAGGTAAAATAGTCCCCCGTTCGGATCTCCGGGAGAGGACTACAAGAGAGGTAAGAAGTGTTAAGGATGTGAAGGAATATAAATGAATAGCAACTTGGAATGTAAGGACTTTATTACAATGTGGGAAATTACAGAATCTGAAAATAGAAATGGACAAGATGAAAATCGATATTCTTGGAATATCAGAAATGAGATGGCTAAAGTCAGGATACTTTTGGAGCGGAGGCCATAGAATAATATATACAGGAGCATCAGAGAAGAAACCTGGCACAGGAGGAGTAGGGATTATAATGAATAAAACCTTAGGAAAAATAGTTAAAGGATATATACAATACGACGATAGAATCAATTTAGTCAAGCTCTAGACGAAAACAAAAGATACAATAGTAGTTCAAGTCTATATGCCGACATCAAATAGTAATGATAAAGAGGTAGAAGAAGTATACGAAAATATAGATAAAATAATCGAAAATGTTAAAGGGGAAGAGAATCTGGTAGTGATGAGTGATTGGAATGCCGTTGTAGGTGAAGAAAAAGTAAATAATGTAACAGGTGCCTTTGGGTTGGGAACGCGAAATATAAGAGGAGAACGCTTATTAGAATTTTGTGCAAAACATAACTTAATAATCACAAACACTTGCTTCGATCACCATCGAAGAAGACCCAACCAATCGAAGAAGAAGATTCACGTGGAAAATGCCAGGAGACATAAATATAGATACCAAATAGATTACATCATGGTTAAGAACAGATTTAAAATTCAAGTAAAGGAAAATAGAAGTTACCCAGGAGCGGATATAGATAGCGACCACAATCTAGTAATGATGAAATGCGAACTTAAATGTAAAAGAATAATGGATAAAAAGAAGAAAATAGTGCAATGGAAAATTAAAAATCTGAGAGATGAGAAAATAAACAAAAATTTGATAATTTGAAATAATTCCCTTTTAACTTTTTCTCCCGCCTCCTTCCAAAGCTCCGCTTGTATTCCATCGATTCCTGCTGCTTTTTTATTTTTCAGATTCCGCAAAGCTTTGTCGAACTCTTCTCTNTAGCGAAAAGATGGAAAGAATATCTAGAAATCCTATACAAGGGGGAAACACTTAAGGAAAATGAAACCAACGAATCAAACGAAAAAGATAAATCTGAAGAAGATGACGCAATAGACCCAATTATAAGAGAAGAGTTCTACAAAGCTTTGCGGAATCTGAAAAATAAAAAAGCAGCAGGAATCGATGGAATACAAGCGGAGCTTTGGAAGGAGGCGGGAGAAAAAGTTAAAAGGGAATTATTTCAAATTATCAAAGTCATATACGAAACCGGTGAATTGCCTGAAGATTACGTAAAGAGCCTAATTATTCCCATCCCAAAGGAAACAGCAGCAAAGAAATATGAAGAATACCGTACTATTAGTTTGCTATCCCATGCTTCTAAAATACTAACAAAGATTATATTCAAACGTATTGAAGGTAAAATAGAACAATAATTTACGAAGACCAATTGGGGTTTAGAAGTAATATGGGAACGGGAGAAGCGATATTGGCGTTAAGGATAATCATTCAAAAAAGGATTAGGAAAGACAAACAAACATTTATAGCTTTTGTGGATATCAAAAAACCATTTGATAACGTAAATTGGAAGGTAATTTTTAACATGATGAAAATATTGGGGTTAAAATACACAGATAGAAAACTTCTGTATAACCTATACAAAGATGAATCCGCAGTTATAAGGATCCAAGATGAAGAGGAAGAAGTAAAAATAAACAGAGGAGTTAGACAAGGTTTTACATTTCCCCAATTATATTCAACGCATATATTCAAGAAGCAATAGATATGATAAAGGAAAATACCAATCTAGGGATAAAGATTAACGGACAAAAAATAAGTATGTTACGTTTTGTCGATGACATAGTTTTAATTGCTGAATGCAAGAAAGATCTGGCTCAACTAATTGAAGCTATGGATAAAACATTCGAAAAAGAGTTGGAAATGAGAATAAATGTGAAGAAAACAAAAGTAATAGTATGTGAAAGGGAAAATAATACAAGAATACAGATAAAAATACGAAACCAAGCAATAGAACAAGTAGATGAATTTACATACTTGGGAAGCGCAATCAGCAAGGATGGAAGAAACAGAAGTGAAATTATAAAACGTATCTGTCAAGCTAAAATAGCCTTTAACAAAAAGAAAACTATATTTACATCAAGAAGCATAAGTCTAAAAATAAGAAAAAATCTATTAAAGGCCTATGTATGGAGCATTGCTTCGTACGGGTGTGAAACCTGGACAATAGCAATGGAAGAAAAAAGAAGACTTGAGGCCTTTGAAATGTGGTGCTATAGAAGGATGCTAAGGATAAGTTGGATGGACAGAGTAACCAATGTAGAAGTACTAGAAAGAATATCAGAAGGAAAGTTACTATGGAATAACATAGTCAGAAGACGCAACGAATGGATAGGTCATATAATGAGACACGAAGGATTGTTGAAATTGATAATACAAGGAACAGTAGAAGGAAAGAACCGTAGGGGTAGACCAAGATTGGAATTCATTTAACAGATAATAAAGGACCAAGGATGTGACTCATATGTGGAAATGAAAAGGAAGGCAGATAAGAGGAAAGACTGGAAGATGGCTGCAAACCAATCTACGGATTGAAACCATAGAGAGAGATTTTTAACATAGTAAAAATTAAAATTTGTAATAATTTAAAAACAATTTTTTTTTGTTTTTAATTAATCATTTTAGAAATATTCATGATTTCTATGTATCTCTTTTTGTTTAAATAGATGATACAATTGAAATTTTCAGAACTATTTTCCTTATAATATCCTATGATTTCTAACTAATAAATAATAATATCAAAAATTATAAAAAAAATATAATTGCTGATTTGATATTAGCACGAAAAATTGAATAATAAAAATATATTTTTGACTCTGATGGTAATTTTTTGCAGACTATTTATTTATATATTACAACAAATTATTATCTAAAAAGTTTAGTGTCAAGCCATTCAATTTTATACACGTTTTACATAAAAGTAATAACTGCTTTATAATTTTTTATAAATTCTCCGAAAAAATTATTACAATATTAAATTAAGTAAAATTAAAACTATAAATTAAAATATTTATTAAATTAAAATAAATTAAAAATATTATTAATTTAAAAAACCAAAAAATATTAAACTCAAAGCCACAAAAAATTAATGAAAAGTCGCGGATACGTATTTCGGAAACAATGTTACCATTATCAACGCTAAACACATACTGACACCCCGACTAGAAAAAACTCTCTTATATACCCCTAGTAACCTTATCACCTAGTGACGTCATCACTAAGTAATATTATCACATTTTGCCAGTTTACACAAGTTTAATAATGAATTTTTCAGTGGGCCCAAATCCCAATTAATTAAATTGTTTTTATTTTTAAACATTTTTGTTGCTTCTCTGATATTAAGTTCTTTGTAATTATTTACGTTTTTAATTAGTTTTATGGTTTTAATGGAGTGATTATGTGTCAATAAATGTTCAGCCACTGGAGATTTCTCAACTTCTTGATTTTTAATATTTCTTAAGTGCTCTTTAAACCAAACCCCTATATTTCTTTTTGTTTGTCCTACGTAACATTTATTACAACTTTCACATTGTATTTTATAAATGCCTGATTTCCTCCCTTCATCTACCTTATCTTTAGGGTTACCTAATAAATCTCTTAAATTATTACTCTTAGATGTTACCAAAGTAATACCAAAATTCTTAAATATTTTAGTTAATCCATTTNAATTCTTAAATATTTTAGTAAATCCATTTAAGATGCCCGGATAATATAAAATTGGTGATCTGATTACTTTTTGTTCTCTATCGCTGGTGAGTGTACTAGCTGCCCTCCTTTCTTTTTTCCACTTTTGTGTTCGGACTAATTTTGAAATTATGTTTTCGTTATACCCATTAAATTTAGCTATTTCTTTTATAACCACCAATTCTTTATCATAATCTATTTTATTCATCGGAATATTAATTAATCTGTAAACCATACTATTAAAAGCTGACAATTTGTGTTGCCAGGTGTGGTTCGNGAGCTGACAATTTGTGTAGCCAGGTGTGGTTCGATGTGTTCGAAATGTATTTTATTATACAATATTAAATTATTAAATCTAAATCTCATACTAATTTAATTACTATAATAATATTTAATCATATATTATACTTTTAAATCTATTAATTACTAATCAGATATAATAAAGATTATAAGAAATAACTTTGCTTTTAGAATAATCCATCAATTTTTTAAAATTAAACACTATTTACAAATTTGCACAGAAGCGTTTTTTATGATAGTAATTGTTCTAACAGTCGAATATCATCTATACTTGTCTCAACTGTTCCACATCCACAATGTGCTGTAACCCCAGTCAGCTAACGTTTTTTTATTTAAATCTATAAAATACGGAAAATAAATACATGTTTTTAATTTTTTTTAGAATTCAAGGGTGATTCAACGATGGTTTTAAAAAATGTTTATGAGTATGAAGAAGAAGTTCAAGGAATAATGATTGAAATAAAAACAATTTTAGAAAAAAATATACCAGGATTAGAAATATATACTACCTATTACACATCTTATTCATATTTGTTAGACGGAACAGAAACAAAAGCACTTGATGCTTTCTTTTCAACTGATCCTTTTCCTCTATTAAATGTAAGTAAACAGTTTTGCATTAATATATATATTACCATTTTTGCATATTAATAAATAAAAGTATTTGTAATTAAAAAATATATATATATATATATTTCCGTAATTATTATTAAGCAGAGAAGGTATTTTTTACTATGATGTGTTTTTTTTTTGTGACTGTTAACAATTTTTCTTAGCTCTCACCGAACCGATTTCATTCAACGCTACGGCAAAGATCACAAATCATATTTAGTCGAAGATATTACCATCAAAAATTTAAAAAATTTCCCTCGTTTTCCGTAAATGGGGGAAATCTCCAAAAAATTACAAATTTAAAAATTGATAATTTTCGCACATTTTTTCAATTTTTTTTACTTAAAATTGTCATAACCTTTTTAAAAATTATCAATTCAATATAATTTTTATATTATTATAAACTTCCACTTAACACCATCACCTACATCAGCCGTCCTTATATCGCAATCAATCACATCTCTCCATCTCATTTTAGGTCTTCCTCTACCGCTTCTTCCTTCAACATTCATTTCTATAACTGTTCTTACAGCTTTCGATTCTTCTCTCCTCATAACATGACTAAACCATCTAAGTCTATTTTCTCTCATCTTATCTATGATTGATGCTACAACTATACTCCCTCTTATATGCACGTTCCTTATCCTACCTTTTCTTGTCACTCCACTCATCCATCTAATCAAGCATTCTCATTTCTGCTATACTCATTCTCTGCTCAACTTTCTTATCAACCGCCCAACACTCTAAACCATACATCATATCTGGTCTTACAACAGTCTTGTAGAATTTACCTTTCAGCCTCATTGGAATTTTGTTATCGCATAAGACACCATACGCTTCTCTTCACTTCAACCACCCGCGCTTAAACATGTACCTTACATCCTCGTAAATACCACCACACTTTTTCACAACTGATCTTAAATACTTTTTTTTAAATCATTTTCTTTAAGAGCTGATCTTCACACCTAGCTTTTGATTAATTTCCTCTATATTTTCTTTTATTAACACTATATCATCAGCAATCAACATGCGCCATGATACCACTCCTTGTACTTCTCTAGTAATTTCATCCATCACTATAGATAATAAGTAAGGGCTTAAAGCACAACCTAGGAGAACTCTTGCTCTTACCCGAAAACTTTTTGTTACTACTTCCACACTTTTTACCCTGGTACAAGTGTCATCATCATACATATCCTCTAATAAATTAATATACCTTTTCGGGACTTCTTTTTCCATTAATGGCCACTTTATAATTCTCTCGGTACTCTATCATACGCTTTCTTCAAATCTATATAAAACATACACAGATTTTTCTTCTTTTACCTTAACTTTTTTATTAGTTGCGTCACACATAATAATGGCTCCATTGTTGACTTACCAGGCATAAATCCAAACTGGTTTTTAGATACCGATGTTTCTTATCTTATTCTCCTATCTATTACCTTTTCCCAAATTTTCATACTATGATTCATAAGCTTTATATATCTATAATTTCCACACTCCTGAATGTCTCCTTGACTTCTAAATATCCACATCACAATAATATTCCTCTATTAATTTGGGATTTTCCTTTCTAATAAAATTTAACTTTAATTTATTTTTCTTGTCAAGTAGCTCAACGAAGATTTATAATAAATAAAATAATTGCATATATGATAAAACTAATATTTTTAAAGAAAATTCGTGAGGCATAGCTATTCAATCATTCCGTATAACATAAAAAATTAAGATTGCATTCATATGAAAATATTATAATATTTAATAATAACTTTTTTCATCATCACTTAAAAGTAAAATTTATTTATTTATTTACTTATTTATTTAAGTGAATTTGACCTCGTGAATGTGTCTTCGAGAAGAATCAAAATAATAACTATGATGTAATATTTATTGATGGAACACTAACTTTCATATCAGTAGCCAGGCTCCTTTCTATTAGGAATAATGTTAATAACAATTAAGGATATAATTAACATACAATTTACAGTATTAATGATTACTTTCTAAATATTAGTGTAATACACTTTTAATAGTTACATAATAAATCAAAATACAAAATGGATTTACGACACCCTAATAATGTCAAAAAATCTAGCTTATATAATAAACCGTGAATACCTCCTATTAGCAAGAAAACTTTTTACCTATATTCATACATATTTTTTCGTACTCGATCAATAGCTCTTACAGAAATTATATTATACCTAGGGCGAAAAAAGCGAAAACCTTTTCAACTGGGTAAGTAAAAGTGAAATTTGTGAGTCAATTTTTATAGTTTTTCTGGAGAGTCGTTTGAAATATTTTAATCCTAAAGGAAGTAATATAAATGTAGATTTTGATAATACAATAATATAGTGTTGTAATTTAATTTTATTGTTATCGTTGATATCAAAGAAAGATGTAAGTTTAAAATATGTATTTACAGGTCAAACTCATTTTACTCACAAATTCACCTTCGATTTTATCCCCATATTTTTTTTACCTGTATTAGCTTAAACACTTTAAGTTAACTATAATATTAACAATTATTATAATTAGCGATAAAAGACAATGAAATAGCTGTTGAATAATTCAACATATGTTTTCAAATTATTTGAAAATATAACTATAGAAAACATAGGAGCAAACCGTATAGACGCTCTTTGACCTACAATAACATAAAAAAATATTTTTATCTTTTTAACGATACGTCAAATGATCACAACTATTATTTAGTTGAAGTTATTAGATTTTAATTACAGTCAGATATCATTATAATTGACCCAACTATCCCACGTAACTACTGTGCCGCGACCATCCTGTGCTGGGTTATTTTTATTATATCATGAAAACTAAATAAAGACCAAAAAATTTTTTTTTCATTTTTATTGTAATAGATCATTAAAATAGAATTCATAGTTATCATTTCTAAGTAATTTTTGGTGTTTAAAAAGATTCTAAAATTTAAATATCCAGAACTAAAATAATTATAATAATTTAGTTTAACTAAAATCCAATCAAAATATTGTTAAAAATCTACTCAATTGAGTATATTATAAAATTTGAATATAACTGTAAAATTTTTTTATTAAATTTAGGTGAAACTAGATATAATTTATTTTAGATTTATGATTTATAAAGCAACATGTTACCAAAAAATTTGGAATATTATAGACTGTTAGTAACACAAACATATTAAGTTAAAAAGATTAATATATTACGAAGTAAAATTATTTAATTTTATAGTTGAAATCTATTATCATATCAAACCTAATTCGATAATAAATACTTTAAAAACTTTAAAAATGAATGATTTTAATTATCTATATGGAGAATGTGGGCTAAGTAACTTTTTAATTAATAAAATGGAAATTTTTTCAATTTTGAGGGTAATATCTTTAACTAGATAATAGTTGTGACTATTTAATGTATAAAAAGATAAAAATCTTTTTTAATGTTATTGTACGTTAATTGTTTGGTGATTAAAAATATTCTACAATTGCAATATTCAGAACATAATTAATTTTAATGATTTAGTTTAACTAAAAAAATACATATTTTTTCGTACTCGATCAATAGCTCTTACAGAAATTATATTATACCTATTTCCATACTCCTGTATGTCTCTTTTACCTCTAAATATCCGCACCACAATACTATTGCTCCATTCATTTGTGATTTTCCTTCTAATAAAATTTTACTTAGATCCTTCAACCACTTTATGCAAACACCGCCTAATATTTTCCATACTTATACTGGCATTTGTCTGGCTCAATGGCTTTATTCGTTTTCATTGATACCACAGCCTGACATACCTTTTTCTCACTTATTAAATTTACCATTACCTCGTTCCACGAGATATCTTCTAATGTCTCTTTTGGATACTCCATGTTTGCGCGTAGCGCTTTCAAATTGATCATATTGAAAATCGCTATCAGCGGTTGATAGTGCTTCAGTCAGGCCATTTGTCGTTGACCATTCGAATTCGTTGTATCATTTTAAGAAACTTTGTTTTTATATGCACATATACGAGCAGCATTTGCTTTTTTTTATTTCTATCAATCAATGGGATTTTTTTCTTTTGCCTTGGTTTAAAAAGTTTACACATTCAAAGCTGACAACTAGTGCCACTGCAACGTGTTTTTCCTTGAGAAATATCTATTAAATTTTTATTGAAATGTGCAGCGTCTGCGGCCAAGTCTTCTGATTCCAGCCAGACTAGCCGTTTCGTAATATTTAAGTTTAATAGTTGTTTTATACCCTGATAGTCTATGTCAATATTTTTATCCTTCAAAATTTCAATTAAGTATATACGCCATAGAATCCATCTTGGGGCACGTGTTTCAATATTTGGGTTCGAGAAGCCATATAATCAATCGATAATTGATTTTCTATTTTACCGTCTACCAATTGCGCCACTTGTTTATTATCACTATTGATTAGCTTTATTATTATTTTTTCAATATTTTTGTATAAGGTCAGTGTTGATTTGCGCATACATAACTTTGCCTTATATTTATTCAAAAAGGCATAACCCAATAGACTGTTCCCGTTTAAGTTACTAACTACCGCGCAATCAATTAAGAATGGGTGACCGTTAAAATAGATCTCTAAAAAAATTTTCCCTAATAAATTAAACGGTGTACCATTCTCTGTGGTCAGCATCGCATTATTTGTGGGATAAATGGTGAAATCCGGTGGCAAAAGGGCACTGTTAATTATGCTGGTTGACGCGCCAGTATTAATAATGAAATTAAACTTTTGACCGTTAAAAATACCTAAAATAATCGGTTTGTCTCTTCGTATATCATGATGAATGGGATTAGTATTGTTAATAGTGCAACTAGTAATTTTATAATTATGCCCGACGTGTTTTGAGAGGATAGGGGTATCTATGGATGATGATTGACAAGGCGATGTTAAAACTTCAAAACTAAGCCTAGCCTTCATGTTTTGACTTATACGTTTTTTGCGATTTCGCACGGCTCTTCTATCAGGGGTTGCGT